CACAATACAAATAGGACATTTAAGGAAGCTTCTTAATAATATCCAGAATTTTTATAATACTGTTTGTTATTTATAATACTAGTATTAAAATAGATCATCAATCCTCTTAATACTTTTGTAGGGAAGTTAACAAAACACTATTACCCTAAATTACAGTAAAGAAGAAAATGAACCAAATACACAAAAAATTGCAGCTGAACTCACATTAGAACTTGATTCCAATTTGGGGGTAAATCTGCTAACTTTCCTATAGGCGGCACAATACAAATAGGACATTTAAGGAAACTTCTTAACTTGATTTTCTATCTCAAAACATTGCTTTTCCTCCAGCAAACAGCACTTTTCATAGAAACAGCATATATAAAAAGTCTTATAAAAACACCAAGCAAAGATGGGAGGAAGATCATGATGGATTTTGCAAGAAGAAAAGATTAGGGAGACAGGTGGTGGAGGGAAAGTAGGAACGGGAGAGCAAAAAAGGGCAGAGAAAAGATACAATGAGAAAAAAAAGGGTCAATTTTTTTCACACAGCAGCTGATATCACAGTTCTTTTGACAACGGATTTTTGTGAGAGCAGGCTGCTTTCTCTTTCCTCCCTTTTTACAAGAACTAGCAGACTCTGAATTAGCCTTGCAAGAAATTTATGAAGATTATTTCGCGTACAGCATTTTCCTGGAGCTTGTTCTTTGGTATTCGTTCTCGGAGCAGGAACTTCACATTCTGGACATCTTTTGGAGTCAAGTCCTCTGCAATTCGATATAGCAGTTGCCTGGCAATAAAGAATAGAGGAAGACCAGTTAAGAAGTTTATGAGAAGTAAACACCACCATTACACATTTGAACTCCAAAATGTACAACTCACAATGGCAGGCGGTCATGCTGCAACAAATACAATTATGCTGGTGTATTCATAATGCAACAGTGCAAACAAGACAGTCCCAAGCAGAGCTGTGTGTTTGGCATGCAAAGGTGAAGCAGTGCTGTGCCCACCTGTAGGCTGAGACCCGCGCCCGGCCCGGCAGCCGCAGCTCCTGCTCCATCTCCTCGCGGCTGGAGCCCAGCTGGGCGGCCAGCAGGTCCATGCGGCTGATGTGGTAGAGCAGCTCCTTCAGGAAGGACAGGTCCCCCGCCTCCATCATGCCTCTCTCCTGCAGCACCTCCAGGAAGTCCTGTGCGTTCCCCACGTCCTCCAGCTTCCTCATGGGGATGTGATCCAGGCTGAGGAACTTCAGAGCCACCACTTCATTTGTGACCAAAGCCTCAGAAATGTTAAAAAGTCGTTGCTGGAAGGCTGTACTCATTTCACATCAGGATTTGGGTCTAAAAAGAAACAGTAGGTGATTTCATTTGTCAGTAGCAGTAGTGCAACAACGTGGCTCTAAAAGATACCAGATCATGTAGAATCCCAAAAATAAATGCGTGCAATCAAAAGTACTTCAGCAGAGAGAGACCATTTTGCTATTGTAGCTTTGATGCTTAGCAATTTCGGTTCTCTCCACTTCAAAAGGAATACAAAAAAACTCTGACTAAGTGCAATTGACAGAGAAAGTCACACATCCTTCCTGCTTCCTATGTGTTGGGAAATAGAGTCATCTTAAATCTCACTATTTGAATTATGTGCTTTGGTTAACATCAGTAGCTAACTTGCTTAGCATAAGCAGCTAGATTGTTGAAGCCTTAGGCCACAGGCTGTAACTTAAGAGCTTGATGAACATAGACTCAACTCTTTCTTAGTCACAAGAATAGCCAGGAATAGTTTTGCATAAGTCTGATATATTGAGATTAATCTCATATCATGAGATTGTGCAAGTAATATTAATGAAGATTGTATGCCTAACAATATGATTTATTGTTCTGATCAAAGGAAGGGGAACTATAATCCATGGAAATTAAAGAAGAGACCATCCTACCCGGAGTCAGCAGAAGACAGGCAAGTTCCAGGTGCAGATGGATCAAAAAGATTACAGAACAGTCTAAGCAGATGAAGTCACCTGCACCAAAACCTCCCATTACTGAAGAGAACAAGTGACCATTAAACAAACTGATTGGACAAAAATGACATGCTTGTTGTGTGAACAGGCGCATGAACAGCTTCTGCAATAGACTCTGTAATAGACTGCTTTAAAAATCACAGGGAAATAACTGAGGGGGTCCCTGTCTGTAGGCACACAGCTTGGGCTGACCCTGCTGGTTTACTGTTCTATTAAACTATTTTTATGAGATTTAATGCCTGAGATTTTGCTTCATGAAACCAACGATTTGCACTTCTTTAACACGAGGGCATGTCTAGACAGTGAGAAGTACCCCTGTACAGGCTGCACACTCCTGGCAGGCTGCTGCTGTTCTGATTTTGGTATGGTTTTGGTTTTTTGAAGTTTGATCCTATTTGGGATCAGAACAAAAAAAAGAGCCACTTGCCAGTCTGAAATACAGACTATGTAGTCAATGAAACTGGCAGGTTCTACAGCATACCAAAAATAAAGGTTTTACATCCTAACAAAGACAAGAATCCACATGAAGCTATCTGGCTTCTCCTTTCTTTATGCACTGCTTTTGACCCTGGTCAGCATGGCCAAAGCATCTCTTCCTGTTCTAGATTACCTTCATCAAGGAAAACTCAGTTTCTAGCTCTCAATCAATTTGTAATATTCAAATCAAATACAGATCATTTCAACCCTTTCAAAAAGGCCAAGAGAATTCTTGTAAAACTAGGGTTTGTCTTCCTGAGCATCAAAAACCACCTCCCTTCTCCACCACTTCCTCCATCAGCTTTAGAAATGTTAGCTATTAATAAAAGTGAAAAAATTTCTATTGACCTATGAAGAATATTAATTACAATTATATAATCATTAACAATTATTAGAAAATATTAATAAATTATTATGGATCCAACTTTTTAGTATAAGAGAAAGTTAGAAAATACCAAATACAAGACTTCCAACTATCTCACCCTGACACTCAAAAGACCTGCCTGCCTTCACTGCCTCTTGGTAAGAGAACCATTTGTCATTTTATTTTCTCTGCTTTAGATCTAAGACATCTAGGAATCTCTGAAGAGAAACTCTACAAAAATGCATTCAGTAGAGGTCTCTTAGACCAAGAAACTCACTGGGAGACAGAAAAGTTGACAACAGTAAATCCAAAGTTCCTACTCCTACACTACCAAAATATTAGGCAATCCATTTTGATATTACTTCTACTGCAAATGTTTCAATAGCATGGCTAGTAACTCCACGGTAGCCCAGCTGATTGAATCATGACTACCATAAATATTTAAAAAAACCCAAACCAGAGAACTGTACTCCACCCGCCTCCAAAGACTGCTCTACAGCAAAGCTGCCTTTTTTGTGGCATGCCTATGTCCTTGGCCAGCATTCTGTTACTTAGCAAGAGTAAACGTACAACTAAACCTTAAGCTTTTCTATGTCAAGAAAACTAATGTAACAACAAAACGTGATGTGCTATGTATGATTCACACCCTGCCCTCAAACACAGTTTTCTTTGAATTCATTCAAATGGAAATTTTAAACTGATGAGAACCCCTGCCTTTCAGCCCGTATCACCACAAAGCCACTAGTATCTGAATGAATCATACGTGTTTAACCTCATGATTCAGTGATCTCAGATCTGACTGTATATTTTTATACTGACACAGGAAAGAGAATACTTTCTTGGTAGGTAGTTACGAAATTATCTCCTTTCTCACATAAATCATGCTTTTTTTTTTTTTTAAGATACAAGGTATGTGTTTATAACAGTAAATCTTCCTGGTAAAAGGAATTTTCATTTTTATTTCTTAAAGGCTCTAAGTTTCAAACCCAGAAAATTATTGCAGTTACAACAGATGTGCCACCTACATACTATATTTAAGCCTGTGTGTAAACACAGGGAGCACACTTAAACAATGCTTAACTGCTTCTATTTTTTTCTCCCACTCTACTAAAGACATAATTGATACAACAAGCAAAATGTACAATAATAATAATAATAGTAACAATTGTACATTGCTTACATGGGAGAAAAGACTGCAGGACTGCTGGAACGACTCTGAAAAAAACCAAGACGGCCATTGTCTTGAAAATCCCAGGAAAAGTACTGCCTTTTGTACCATGGTCTATACCATCTTGTGACTTGAAAAAAGTATAACAAAGTAATAAACCATAGTCATAATGCAGCAGTTGCCTATTTCACTGCTCACGGTTCCGGTTTCAGGAAATGAATCACAATACTGCTTGTGAGAAAAATTGGTAAACAAGCCAAAAAAGTAACCTGGTTTTGCTTTTAAGGGAACACATGAAGCAGCCTAGTCAGGATTTTCTAGCATACAGCACAGCTGAGTACATTTGCTCCCATACATAAATCCTAGTTAAGTGATGAAAGAGTTAATCAATTATATCCTCCCATTAAAAAATATCGCAAGTCCAGCTGTTCTGTTGTTGCCTCCAGATCCCCCATGACTCACCTCCCTTCTCCAAAGTCCCTCTCCACCTCAGGCTAGCCTGTTTTTAACAGTGCGCTTTCATCAAAGATTATTTCCTAAAGTAAAAAAAGTCAACTATCACCACCGAATTCAATAGGAGTCCTCAATGAATACAGGGAACTGAAAGGCTAAACATGCCTTTCAAATTATTTATGCAATACACTTCCCCATTTACAAGAGAATTTAAGCAGTTATTAACTTTTGGTATTTTCATCCTCTTTGAAGTATAGAGCTCTGCACTCAATGGTGAGGTTTCCCAGTATGATCTGCTGGTCACCAGCATCTTCCTTGCAGCAGGAAATGCATGATCAGCCATCAGTACGGCTGCTAGACTCTCTGAAGCTTGTGAGGTCAGCATTTTGGAGAGAGGAGAGATGAAATATGTTAAAATTTTGCAATGAAAACAATCATTCATTGATTTCAACCTATCTACCTTTAAAAACTCAAAATCGTAACATACCCTTTGACAGAAAGAGGCATAGAAATCCCTTCCAAAAGTCACAGGCGAGTGCCACGTTCAGATAATGTCTGACTTCTCTCACTGGCGCAAGTTATCCTTTTATCCGAAGGCTAGATGCAGCACAGAGGGATAGCACCAGATCAAATCCTGTGGTCCAAAATGGATCTGCTTCCATGTCACGCCATGCCTCGGCACCCTTCTCCCTCAACTACTTCCGCTGTGACTGCACAGAACCAAGACTCCACTTGCCGTTTTGAAAGAGGAAGCATGACGTGATCAGTACTGTGTGACACGTGTTTGTGGACAAGACCAAACCCAGGCTGGCTCTTTGCAGACACATGCTTCTCCCATCATGCAGCAGTTTCAAGGATCAGCCCTCCTGGCACTGTTCTTCTTTGTCTTTATTGTTTCGCTTCTTATTTCTTCCTCTCTCACCCTTCTCCAAAATGTTCCTGTCCTTTTGTTAAAGTCTCTCCAATTTCCCTCAGGTCCCCTGAACTCCGTTTTTGTCCCTCTGGCTTTCTCTAGAACTGTCCCAACCTATTCCTTGGATAAGAGTATGCCAAAAATTGGTATCTCCCAGAAGGGCTGGTTTTGAGGAAGTGAAAATGCTGACACTGCTGAATACTTGGCAGCTGCAGTGACTGTGGCCTCTACTGGCACAAAGAAGGATATACAGTCCCTACCCATAAAGTGAGTCAGGAGGGAGGGGACACCAGAGACTTCTGGAAGTTACAGATAGTGCTTTAAGATCGTGATTCCAAAGATGCCAACTTCTCCAGCAAAGAGACTCTTTTTACACTAGTTCCACTTAAATCTGTCCAAACAAGGGTTGCACAAGTCACAACCCTTCTTTAATTCTCTAGATGGAGAGCATGCACATGTACATATGCTATCAGAAAGTCTCAACAGAAAACAAGATTTTTTTGTTGTTTTAGGCTGGTTTGTTTCTGGCACTGCTCTGTATTACTAGAGTTACACTGAAGGTGTGGACAGCAAGAAGTGATGACTATTGAAGTTGTATAAAAAACACTCACTCTCCCCCAGGACTTTCAAATGGCTACCTTACAGTATACTGCAGGACATCACACAGGCACACCCAACAACCTTGTTGAATGGGAACTGTGGTTATAGTGCTTATTATGAGCGAGGAAGACATTACTGGTCTTGAACTTGAGGAAGAGTTCCTCAGGGAACTCAAGACAGAAGTCAGCTTAGACTCTTCTGACTGCCTCTGCCTACCTACAATTTAACTGGAGATCAACCCAGGCAGAAGTCTCTACAGAGTAAGCAAGATAACAGGACGATGTTATCTACCAGATTTAAAAATGAAAACAAGATCCTGAAAAACAAGGTCAAATTTGTTGTCAGTGTTTACTCTGTATTGATAAAAATCCAGTTGTTACCTAAACACACAAAAAGTTATCAAGTAATTCCAAGCCAGATACCACATGGCTGTATCACAATGTTATATATTCTAACAGACAAAACATTTTCTACCTGTGGCACAGAAGTAACTTCAAGTGTGGCAGCCCTACTAACTCAGAAGACACAAAATACAACGGGTCACACAACTATCAATTCATCAGGATAAATAGTGACCATTATGTTTTGGCAAACTGGCTGCATTCCAATGCTCTATATGATGTAAAACTTCCCTGATAAAAATCCTGGAGAAAGCAAGCTAAAAATTGCATCCAACAGCAGCAGATAATACTCTTTCAAATCTTCTAACTTATAATCACATATAACAATCACATATAACAATCAGTGTTTTGCTGAAATACACCAGGTTTCACTTCAGTTTAAACCCTGTGGCAATTAAACCCACAATGATTCATGCAGCACAACGAAGGGTGGGGGCCAGTCATAAAAAAGGATAACTCTTACCCCTGCACATAACTCTCATCTCATCAAACTCTTAAAAAGAAGTATGAGTTTAATGCAGTAACAAACAGGAGGGACACAGACATACATGGTAAATAATCATAACAGAACATGACATTATTTCAGTTAACTCACAAAACACTGTTAGAAGCTTCCTCAACAAGAAGCCTTGTTTCTCATATGGCTGCATTTTAGATCTTAAACCAAGAAACAATAACCAGAAAATTTAATGCTTAACAAAGTTAATCAATCTGATAAACCTATACAGATAAACTGTGGAATGCCAGATTTCATAGTGTGCAAATCTTCTACCCTAACTTTTCTTCCCAGAAGTGATGGGGAAATGACAGTTCACAAGGTTTTAAAGAGGGAACACTATACAGTATTTTGGCTTTACTCCGTTTTGGAAAGACCTCATTGTACATGAAGTTTATGTCTGCCATTAGACAGTATTCAGTGTGCTTTGTGGAACAAATTACTGATTTCAATAGTTAACTGGTTCTCCATTAAGTTAAATGTAATTTAAATTACAGAAGGAAGAAATCCTTTTCCATTTACTACTTAAGCTTTCTTCTCTCCATTCCCACCTTTGTCTTTCTCTGGGAACATAGCTAGTGGATTTAGAGGCAAGATTCAAAATTGTTAGCCTGCAAAGTAAAACACCATGAGCCTAAACCAGAACATTAACAATCCTGCTTAGATATGGAAGGCTAAATGTAACTCTTTTGCTGTCAGAAAAAGACTTTTATACAAAAATGTTTAACGTGATAGAGGCATGCTTCTTCCAACCCTGACAACTCAGAGTATACAGATGATGTAAACAGCTGGCACATGGATTGTTTTGATTTTGTCTCCTGCAGTTTCACAGTTTCTTTGGCAACAAATTTTTGAGGCCTTGCCTTGAAGCTAACAGTTCCTCAGGAATCTGGGTAACTGCCTTAGAACAGGTAGTGTGGTGAATTGCATTTTAACGAGATGTGCTGGTAAAAGGATGCATTTAAAAGGCTCAATATTGCTGTGAAGGAGGAGGGTCTCTAGGTATTGGGAATACAAATTTCCTTCTCAAGGTGTATGCCGGCTGGGGCATCTGCTTCTTTGTCCCCAAGCGGTCAACACGTCGGCTCACATCTTCATTAACTTCCGTGAGAATCGACAAAATATCTTCACCCCTACAGCCAGGAGAGCAAAAGTAAACCCAGGATTATTAATGAGCGGATGGCACTCCATTTAACACCTTCCAGATCATCTAGAAGATACACTATAAGCACTTAAAGACACAAAAAAGAAACACATCCTTTTCTCCAAATTTCTTCTCTTTTATTCCCATTTGAGTCCTATAAAAAGCAAAAGACCTTTTCTTACTGTCTTGCTTGATTCAACCAGTAAAGAAAAATAACAGAATAAAATATTTTTTTACCCAAATCCACTCAAGAAACAGATAGCTCTTCCTTAAAGCTTATACATTGGAAGCTTTGATTTCTTTCTTTTTTTTTTACAATAAACCTCACACTATCTCCAGTTTATCTCTATGGTACTAGCAGTGTTAACATAAATTTATCAGCAGCAAGCAAACAAATCATCATTTTAACTCATTTGGTCAGAACATGGGTCAGTGTTCCTATGTGAATTTTTGCCTTTGGAGAAAAAGAAATGGGAAGTTCTTCCTATTTTTTCACAGGAGAGCTAGGCAAAGCATTTACCTTGGTACCAACAACTGCAGCTTGCTGCACAAGGCCTGAATATACCAGGCACCCTGTTGAACGTGCCGGAAAGAGACATATCCATCAATTGTGGCCATGCCTAGGAGGAAATCAGCCTCTTCAGGAATACTTTCAAAAGGAGAAACGCTGTGTTGCACCGAAGACAAGTCAAGAACTCGTGCATCAGCTTCAACGTAGACAGGACACTGTATCTCTTTACCCTGACATGCTTGGATAAAGAAAAGTTTGGGTTTTTCAGCCAGATGTGAACATTGTTTGGCAGTGAAGTGGGACATGATTGTGCGGATTGGTACAAGTTCCTCATCTTTCCCATAGACTGCTCCTGACTCCCCATGAGACAGAATACAACATATAAAACAGTCCCTGTCTTTGTGATCTTGCAAATTCTGCCAAGTTTGCATGACCTCTAGAATCTCTTGAGATGTCAGATTTTTGTAAGTCACCACATCCAGACCAAGCCACGTAAATACTTGCTTCAGTTCCTCTGTAATTAGAAGAAAGATAAAATGAAAAGTTGAGGCAGTAGGAAAACCATTGTGTGAAGTCACCACACAAGGTAATCTGAACTGGGAAAGACCTTACATCCTGACACTTCTGCAGATTCACCCTTATACTAGTATAACCTAAAGGTTAACTGGAATAAAAAAAGATGGCATCAGCTCAAACACAGATTTTCTGGATTTTTCTAGAGAAGGTGCAGAAAATACAATATTTTACAAAGTATAATGACACACTAAGTAAGCTCACAAAGAACAGAAAATACTCTGCACACTGAGTTTCAAATTACATCTTTCAAAACCTTCCTCGTGTCATCATTTTCCAGTTTCAGTTTTGACTATTAGAGTTTCACACACAAGATAAAAATAGAATGAACAGAATAAAATAAAAAGTATGCAGAATGGCTTGATTATGGAATTTTGTATTATGTAGAATGACAGTTCAGTTTTAGTTCTTTATTATAGCTATAGCTAAAGGCTAAGTAAAAAGATTCTTAAAATGATTCAAGAATGATCCAATGGCATCAGAAACTCAGTAGTTATTCATCCTTTAACCCTTCCTCCTCTAGGATACACAAATGACATAATTTAATACATAGCAAACATTTTACTCTTTAAGAATATTACATAAAATATAGAGCAATACTAGAAAATCAACTCACACAGGGAAACAGAGAGGCTAATCCTCAAAAAAATCTCACTTCAGTAACTTACCAGCATCTTTGCAAGAACCCTTCCTCTCAGGAAGATCCTTATCAAAGTTAACATTATTAATAATAAGACAAAATCCTCTGTGAGGTCCATCCATTTTGTAGCTTGTCATCTTCTGTAGAAAGCAGAGGAAAAAAGCTTACAGCCTAAATGAATTTATTCAACTTACTCCCATTTCCTTAACACGTCTCAAAATTTACATCCAAACATTAAAGGCACCTAAGACTGTGGGTTACTTTGGAAAAGCTGCAACTCAGTGGTGTCTCCCTGTGTGGAAAGACATGGGTGAAGCCTCAAGCACACTCTGTCACTGTACTACCAAAGTGCAGAAGGGTTTAGCTGCTGGGTAGGTCATCTGCATGCAAAAGGAAGACTTAGCAGCCAAACTGCAATCTGAACTGGAGATGGGGATAGAAGCTTCCAATGTGGGTGCAGTATTTTAACTTCATATGGCAGAGGGTTCATGGTCAAACTACAGGATGTTAGACATCTGAGTGTATTTTTTTTTTTTTTCAAGAGTAGTGATAAACTCTTGGAGCAGGTAGTTCATACACATCTGCTGGAAAAGGATGCAAACCCAGAGATTTTTGAAGCGTATAAACCTGCCACACTACCAGTTTTGCTGAGATTTAAGTTACCTCCCTCTTAAGAAAGAATGTTTTAAGAACAAAAAACTCACCAAAACTTCAAGTACCATTTCTTTCAAGTCCAACCTTGGGTTGAAATTAAAAACTATAACTCCAGTCCCTTTCTGTTCAATAGAGAGAGCAACAAACTCCCACTTTCGTGCATTTTAGTAGAACAAAATGAAGGCAGCTCTCCAAGCTACTTCAACAGCAGCAAGAACTGCTTTTGCTACAGCAGTCTGAATATCAGGTGATGAAAATGATATGTTATAGCACAAAATTGCAAGAAATCAGCTATAAACAAAGGCAGCAATGTGCTCCCTCAATAGCCATGCCCATCAGAAAGAAAAAGCCAGAGGAAGAATTCAGTTGTTACACTGCTGTACAAGGTTGAAGAGTGCATGTAAGGCTTCTAAGAAGGGATCTCACAAAATGGACCTTTCCTTCTGTACCAAGACCTGTGGTTTATTGAGGAAGCTTGTTGCATACCTTCAATAGCTTACTAAATACTCTTGCCTTCCTTTATCCTTCTCACAAGGTCTTTGCATGAGCCCTTACCACTTTTAATTTCAAGATGCCCTGAAGCTTTTTCTAGGCCAGATCCAGAAAGAGAGAACTGTGAAGCTGTGCTTGTCTCTGTGTCTTTCACATCCTGATGCCACCTCCAAAAATGCACAAATTAAGAAAATGCCAAATGTTTTGCCTGTATCAGGAAGGCAGCCAGATGCATTGATGTGTAGGTAACATCACAGGTATTATTCCTGTTTTGCCTCCACCACACCTTTCAACATGGGTATGTTTCTGGCCTCCAGGACTAAAATATTCTCTGAAACATCCCAGCTCATCATATGACTCAAAAAACTTCACCAGACACAGACATCTCGTGTGGCCTTGCATGATAAATGCCATTACAGCAATGAAGACCTCACATACCTAAGTATTTAAAAAGAAGGATTTAAGAGATTGTCTCAAACCTTGGATTCATTTTCTCCATTGCTGAACTCTCCAGGCAGCTCCAGGTTCAATTCAGAGAAAACTTGTGTAACATTAGCTTCCTTGTTATCTAGGAAAAAAAACCCCAGCATACATATTTATGAAGAGAAATTTAGTATTGGTGGATGCAGTGAAGAGTTTAGCTACAATACAGCACTTTTGGTATTTGAAATACTGTTTCACTGAAAGGAATAATTCCTCCATATGAGATATGTTCAAAGGAGGTATTCTGAACACATTTCCAGTTATTTTTATTATATAATCTTTGTGACAAAGGCAAGTTTTCTATTTGTATTGCTACTGTGGAACAAAGATATCCATGGTACTAGGGCAGATTCTACCCGAGACATTCAAATGAATCTTTCATTTGGAAAGCAGCTTAGATATAGGATCTGCAATGTTACTACTGAAGCTCCCGTTGCAGATTTTGTTGTTCCTGAATCACTGACAGTAGCTCTCAGTTGCAGATCCAGGCTGCACTGATGCAGCTTTAAAGTGGAAAAGAGCTGACAGATGTACTGCTATACTTTGCAATTGGTCAATCTGATGCTGAGTCACAAAGATGGATGCAAACTATCCACTGTTATTTGCAGAGAATCTTTTCAAAGATCTGATCCAAAATGTAACATTATTTATAGGTGCTTTATTTGCTTCTCCTTTTGAAAGCCCTAAAATGCTTGTCTCCTTTTGTACAAATCATACACTATTTAAGGTATTAAAAACATCCATCCCTACCATGCAACACTCTCAGGCTCCTCAGCATAATGATCTATACAGCAACAGAAATCAGAGGTAAAACCCTGCTCCCTAAAAAATTAACATCTGTTTTATAAAAAGTCACAGCGTCTCATTCTCTTGTCCTCCCAGGGATATTTAAACAGAAAAGTTGTTTTTTGTTTTCAGGAAAGAAGTAATTTTTTTACTTATAATCATACCAGCCCTTATTTTACTTCCCAGAAAGCACATTAGTTAGTTTCTAGTAAATGACTGACAAAGTACACAGGATTTGCCTACTTTCTCTTCCCTCTTTTATATAAGAACAGAAATCCTTCAAATCTATTTGTGCAGAAAGCAAAAGGCCCTTCCAAGAAGAAAGCAAGGTAATTGTGTTGCATTAAATGAAATGCTAGCAATGTCCCAGAGAGAGTAAAGGAATGTAATGTTAGACATAAAGGTAATAAAAACCAAACATATTTTCAGAAATTCTTACCATTGAGATTAGAACCGACAGATTTGATCGAGGTCTCCTATATTTTGAGTGGTGGGAATATCACGTTAAAAATTATTTTTATAAAGAATAAGTTTTCATCCTGATTTTAGCATAGTAAGCTTTAAGTAGTGAGTAGGAAACATACTGAATTCCTAAGGGCAGCAAAGCATTTAATAATGAAATTACAAAAGACTTCCCTATTACAGCAGATCTCACAGAATGGGAAACAACTATAATTTCTCTTAAGAAAGGGAAACAGCAAAGAATTTTCTTTCACTTCCAGATAAGCCTCTCACCATAGGGGTAGGCAGTCACTATAAACAATGCCAACTTAGATAGCCAACTATTTGAGTGTAAATCATTATTACTAGTGATTCCAGTCATGCCTAAGAGACATCTTCTAGCAGAAAGTGCCAATGATTTATTATACAGCATGGAAAAATTGTGTAACATGATAATCAGGAATATGCAAACAGTCTCAGTCTTTTTTAAAAATTCTTTTAAAACTGTATTTTCTTAACAAAACAAATTCATTCTCTTACTGTGCCAAGTGCCATGTATGAAGGCTTCCCCAAACCCTCTACACATCTAGAACAAATATAGCTCAAAGCAACTGTCATTCAAACCTTTCTGATACTAAATAGCTCATTTTCCTCAGCTCTTGTCTGCTAGAATTTAACTTCTGGGAAGTATCCTTAGAAAGATCACTGGTTTTCCTCATTCAGAACTGAGTTAAAAGTTCCCTCCTTCTTTCCCCTTTTCCCAAAAAGAGATCAGTTAGAGCCTTAGTAGGGGTTTCCCAATCTGATTTATCATACAGCTGCAGGAGACATTCAACTCATCAGGGACTGGCCCATTGAGAAAACCTACCTAACTGACCTATCCTCTTGAAGGCACCTGTCCAGCTTTTTCTTTCACTCTTCCTAACATGATTTTTTTTCCCCAATTGCACATGACCAACAGTAGTATTTTCTAATTCCACTATTTGATACTACATTGTTGTATTTCTTACATGTTGAACAAACACGCTTGTTCCCTTCCTAAACCAAGTAAGAGTTTTAGCAAAGGGTCTCACAGACAGTAAATTTGCAAAATAAAGGCAAGAAAAGAAACACACCCCAAACCACTAAGACCCAAGTTTGCAGTATGTCCTCCAGTGTACCTGTGAGGTATTGAATACTCTGATGCTTCCAGTGTGAGACAGTGAAGATTCCTTGACAGGCAGAGTGTTCTCCTGCTGAGGCTGAGACACTAAAAGCAGAAAGAGACAAAATGAGAGAAGCCATGTGCCTTTTAGTTAAACCAGTATGAATCTGGACATTAGGTAAATGTGGATTTATACTTACTGAAAGATATATTAAAATAGGAAGTGCCTTTAAAACACTCAGAAAGCGCGATGGAATAGAACTCATGAAACACCAAGTGCCTTTGCACCTACTGGGGAGACGTATTTCTACCTCCCAGAATTTAGTGCCTAAATAAATAGAAATAGAACTTTTCCCCCAGTATGCTTAGTCACTTCACAGGACATTAAATGAAGTAAAATGACAAACTGCAGTATAACCCCTGATAACATGAATCACACATTTAATAATAAAGGCTACCATGTCTCAGACACACATGCAACCACAGTTTGCCTCTCCAGCGTATCAGCAGGCAGCTGTGTTGTTGTCAGGTGCATTCATAAATCACAAGGTGCCTTTTGCAGGATAGTCATCATCATCTCAATAAAATTCATGGGGTAATGGAGAAACGTGATGGAACTATAGACTTTCAGTTTCCCAGCCTGTTCTGTATGTGTGAGTCTGCTCTGTGTGGCCTCAGATATTCCAGCATGTCCCCACTGGAATTCAGCTAGGAAGTAATGCAAACTAGGGGCCGTTACGCCGAATTTCTGTGTGAAGATGAGCAATCCCGATGTGTGAAGCGAGCCCTCATTCTTGGCTTTTGAAGACTACAATGCCCGACCTTCTCGTCGGGTTTTGGGGAAATCTCGCGAGAATTCTTTCCCCGAAGTTTCAGACTCTCGCGGGAGATTTAAAAGATAAAAAACTCTATATTAAGTGCAGCCCGGGCAGAGTTCTTTCTCTTTCTCCGGGAACCAGCTCGGCGACAACCCATCTCGTCGGGACCCAGCCGGGTAGGATCGCACGCTTGGCCGAAGAACGCGGTAAAGGGGGAACTAAAGGGGGAAACCACTCGCCCGCGGCTTCCACCCCACCCCCCCTTCGGCGCCGCCGCTTTTTGCGACGGCCCACTTTAGCTCCTGTTCCAGCAACGTGCACATAGGCCCCTGAGGTTCAGTTGCCCAGACACCTCCAGTGCTTCCTGCACTTTAGCAAACCTACTCCCTGCCTGAGAACTGCTCACCTTTTGCCCATTTGTAGTGGTTTACTATTTCCAGAAGATCTGGTGAAACATTCATACAGACTTGCTCCAGCAGCTGTACATTGTTTTCAGTTACAAGTCTCTGTTTTTCCAATACAATCAGCAATTCCAGAGCAGACTGACAGCAGAAGGGAGAGAATAAAATATAGTTATTGCTCCTTAGCACTCAAAACCTGCCTCAGCCCTGTCTGCCTCAATCACATTACTATCTGCTTTGCTTCCTACCACCAAGGTCCAAATAGTCAATTTTATATCACTGTGAGAGATGGAAATGTTGCTCTGTGGAAAACTCCTAGTTGTGTTATTATTTGGCACAGTCTTGTTCAAACAGATTCATCCAAACCATATTAGCAGCTCTTGGTACTTTGAGAAGGCTTTGTTGCTGTGAAACAGTACTAATGACACACAGGCAGGAATCTTCTTTGCAAATAGCTCAAGCAGAGCAAAGATTTGATTTGGCACCCTTTTAGGATCCAGTGCAAGACTGTGAACTGTCAGTGACTGACAATGGCATAAAGCACCAAATTCCACCCTTAGCTGTTAACAGCTTCCTCCTTGCTAACCCTATAAATACTGAATAGTTGCAGATTATACCCTATTTTGCTAAATACTTTTCATGTTTTTTCTCCTATTATCCCCCCTCCTTCTTCCCTTCCTGCACACACATTTGGCTCTCCCCTCACATACAAGAGTCAGACGTCGCTTTGGGAGATAGCTTTGCAAGAGGAATATCATATCCTTCAACATCTCGTCGCTGATGTTCTCCGACAGTTCATACAGCATCCGTCTGTAACAGAGATCCAGTGAGATTAAAAAGAAATAGAAAGGGGAACAGTATGGCATAGATGGCAGTAATGGAGAAAACAGATCCCACTGTGAGCTCACCTGTATCGAGACACTCTTCCCTTCTCAGGCAGACATTCTTGCACTTTCTCCTTAGTATAACCAAGTTTCTTGAGCAAGGAGTGACATTTAGTTATGTACAAGAGTTCAACTAGTAGGAAAGTATCTTCCTCATTCAGATATTCTTCAGCCAGGAGAAGCTGAAAGATGTCTACTGCTGACTTCACACTTTCTAGTTTTTTGAAGGGGAGCAAGTCAGTACAGAGGAATTTTAAAGCTGCTACATCTTCAGCCACCAGATTTTCAGCAATGAGCAGGAGCTGCTGACGGAACTTCAAGCTGACACCATCCTCCATGTTGCTGGAACCAAGTCTCTCTGCCTGACAGTAGAAAGTGAACACTAGTAACACTTGAATCTTTCAAAAAAACGGATTATGGTGCAGCCCTCTGATTATTACCCTTTGTTAATTATTCAGGCAGGGAATGATGAGGTTGCACAGAGAAATCTAAAGGCACTCAAAAAGGACTTCAAGGCGCTAGGGCAACTAGTCGAAGGCTCAGGTGGTCCGATGGTGTTTTTATCAGTCCCACAAGTGGAAGGGAAAAATACTGAAAGAAGGTGGATAACACATCTGACTAACACATGACTCAGAGACTGGTGCCACTGCTGGAATTTTGGGTTCTTTAATCTTGGGGAATTTTATATAGCACCTGGTCTACTGACAAAAGACGGAGCACACCTGTCTCCAAGGGGAAAAAGGATCCTGGCACAGGAGTTGGCAGGGCTCGTTGACAGGGCTTTAAACTAGCTTTGAAGGGGGAAGGGGATAATACCAGGCTCATGAGAGATGTGCCTAAGGACAGCCTCCAGTCTTCTGTCCTACTTGAGGTGGACAATGACAATAAAACAGGACTCGCTAGCAAGTTAGTCAGCATGGTACTAGCCAGGAATAGTCAGACAGCAACAGTGAAAACTGGTGGGTTAACTCCCTCTCTGAAATGCTGATATACCAATGCACAGAGTATGGGGAACAAGCAGGAGGAGTTGTAGATCTGCGTTAGAACAACTATGATACAATGGCAATCACTGAAACATGGTGGGACAGCTCCCATGACTGGAATGTTGTCATGGATGGCTATACACTGTTTAAGAAGGACAGACCGACAAGGCGAGGCGGTGGGGTTGCCCTTTATGTACGAGAGCAACTGAAATGTGCTGAGTTCTGTCCATGGGGAGAGGTGGAACAGGTTGAAAGGGACATGCGAAGGGGGGGTGACACTGTTGTGGGAGTCTACTACAGAACACTGAACCAAGAAGATGTTGATGAGGCCTTCTACAGACAGCTGGAGGTAGCCTCTAGAACACGCTCCTTGGTACTCAAGGGAGACTTCAATCACCATGACATTTGTCGGGAATCCCACACAGCAAGGCAAGTTCAGTCAAAAAGGCTCTTGCGGCGCATCGATGATAACTTCTTAATGCAGGTCGTGGAGGAGCCAATGAGAAGCGCTGCACTGCTGGACCTTGTGTTAACGAATAAAGAAGGGCTGGTTGGGGACATTAAGGTTGGGAACAGCCTTGGCGACAGTGACAACGACATGTTTGAGTTTAGTATTTTACGAGGTAGAAGCAGGACAATAAGTAGGATTAAAACTCTGGACTTCTGCAGGGCTAAACTTGCACTCTTCAAAGATCTACCTGCAGGAATCCCATGGGCTAAGATTCTTGAGGGTAAAGGGGTCCAAGAAAGTTGGTAAATTTTTAAATACCACTTCCTACAAGTCCAAGACAGGTGCGTTCCCTTGAGTAAAAAATAGGGTAGACGAGCTAACAGACCTGCATGGATGAGCAGGGACCTTCTGAAGGAAATCTCATGGAAGAAAGAAATGTATAGCTCATGTAAGAAGGGACTTATTGCTTGGGAGAAATGGTAGGGAAACTGTCAGGACATGCAGGAAGGCAATAAGAAAGGCCAAAGCCCTCTTAGAACTAAAACTAGCAAAGGAAGTAAAAGAGAAAAGGGTTTCTTCAAATCTCTCAATAGTAAAAGAAGAGGGGAAGTGTGGGCCCACTG